ATCATTTAGGTATCGGAAAGTACCATCCCTTTATCAGAAAGTATCATTTAGGCATCAGAAAGTATCATTTAGGTATCGGAAAGTATCATTTAGGTATCGGAAAGTATCATTTAGGCATCAGAAAGTATCATTTATGTATCGGAAAGTATCATTTAGGTATCGGAAAGTATCATTTAGGTATCGGAAAGTATCATTTAGGCATCAGAAAGTATCATTTAGGTATCGGAAAGTATCATTTAGATATCAGGAAAGTATCATTTAGGCATCAGAAAGTATCATTTAGGTATCGGAAAGTATCATTTAGGTATCGGAAAGTATCATTTAGGCATCAGAAAGTATCATTTAGGTATCGGAAAGTATCATTTAGATATCAGGAAAGTATCATTTAGGCATCAGAAAGTATCATTTAGGTATCGGAAAGTATCATTTAGATATCAGGAATGTATCATTTAGGCATCAGAAAGTATCATTTAGGTATCGGAAAGTATCATTTAGGTATCGGAAAGTATCATTTAGGTATCGGAAAGTATCATTTAGGTATCGGAAAGTATCATTTAGATATCAGGAAAGTATCATTTAGGCATCAGAAAGTATCATTTAGGTATCGGAAAGTATCATTTAGATATCAGGAATGTATCATTTAGGCATCAGAAAGTATCATTTATGTATCGGAAAGTATCATTTAGGTATCGGAAAGTATCATTTAGGTATCTGAAAGTATCATTTAGGTATCGGAAAGTATCATTTAGGCATCAGAAAGTATCATTTAGGTATCGGAAAGTATCATTTAGATATCAGGAAAGTATCATTTAGGTATCGGAAAGTATCATTTAGATATCAGGAATGTATCATTTAGGCATCAGAAAGTATCATTTAGGCATCAGAAAGTATCATTTAGGCATCAGAAAGTATCATTTAGGTATCGGAAAGTATCATTTAGATATCAGGAAAGTATCATTTAGGCATCAGAAAGTATCATTTAGGTATCGGAAAGTATCATTTAGATATCAGGAAAGTATCATTTAGGCATCAGAAAGTATCATTTAGGCATCGGAAAGTATCATTTAGATATCAGGAAAGTATCATTTAGGCTTTAGGCATCAGAAAGTATCATTTAGATATCAGGAAAGTATCATTTAGGCATCAGAAAGTATCATTTAGTTATCAAAGTTTAAATATTGCCATTTTATTGAACAGTTTTGAATGATAACCATTCCTAGTGGACTAGAGGTTGCTGTGTATATAAAGACCTGTCTTTATATTTCTAATGTTGCTATAAAGACCTGTGTTTGTATGAGCTGACCATATAAAATCTGTCTGTGTTGTTTAGGTGGGGAGATCTTGGAGGAACCGTCACACCTAATGGACGCTTACAGGTACACCAACACTACACTGTACACTTTCCTGATGCTAAAATAGGACACAAATGCTAGTGATTTTGAGGCCCACCACAATGTGACGTGGGAAAGTGGTTTTCCCTTCCGACAAAACTGATTGGCAGGCACCATGTTTCTATAATAACATGTATGCACATGTCCACAGAACATTATTTGTGCAAATAAACTGGGATTAAAATATTTGTTCCAACTCTCTGTGTTTTTTTATAAGTTTAAAGCATTTTTAAAACAGATCATGTTTGTAATAAAGACAGTAAAATCACTATGTAATACTTAACCACTCGTGTGAGACTCATCATTTCAGAAAGGCTTGAATAAACTCCACCACAAATACATGAAACAAACCTCCTTGGTATTTTTGACTTTGTACTTTCTCTGTCACTGACTGCTGTTTATCTGACGTAACGCAGGAGAAGCAGACATGCATGTGGGAACAGTGGGCGGGGAGAACCCGCTCATTTGCATTTAAAGCCACAGGCTACAGAAACAGCTATCCTGTACTCAGACACCATATTGGGCAGATTCTGAAGGCTATAATAAATGATCTCATGGGTATTTAGAGCTGAAACTTTACAGACACATTCTGGAGACACCAAAGACTTATTTTGCATCTTGTAAAAGGGGTAAAATAGGTGCTCTTTGAATTAATACTACTTTTTTAAAAGTCCTTGAATCTGCTGTTCAAGTGTGAGAACCCTGATTATAGTCATGTTTTGATGCTCGTGTTGTTTGCTTTTTTTTTTTGAAATTCTGAATCTATAAAATTGGTCTGAAATCTCATTCTGTGTGATGTTAAAAATGTCCTAAAGTCTTAAGAAACCTGCAGATTCCCTGGAATAATAATTTCTGCTGTTTTTCTTCTCAGACGGGGGTTTTGAGGACGAACTGTGTGGACTGTCTAGACCGAACGAACACGGCTCAGTTTATGGTTGGCAAATGTGCTCTGGCGTATCAGCTCTACGCTCTCGGCATGATCGACAAACCCAAACTCCAGTTTGACACTGACTGCGTGAGGTACAGCAGAAACACTTATTCATTTATTTTCTATTATTATTGCTGTTGTTGTTGTTATTGTTGTTATTATTATTATTATTATTATTATA